AACAGACACGCCCAGTATCCAAGGAGTGTGGACACCTTACCTCAATAAAAATCCCAAACACAACATCACAGATTTTCCTAGTGATTCTCCTGAATTTAAACACCAGCCTACTGAGAAATCTGCCTCTCAAAATCTTTTGGAAAGAGCAGATCAGTTACGACGATTGAAAGCCTGATTTGATTAATGTTAATTCAAAATGAACAGCTGACTGATTTGTTTAATAAATTAAAAAAAAATTTTTTAATGTGTTTATTCGATAAATTGGTCTTCTGGTTAGTAGAAATGTTCAGCTGGCTTGGCTGAAAAATTGTGGTAGCATGTAGTAAAAAATAGAAACGCGAGCATGATGCAAAATAATGAGTTTGCTAGTTTAACAATTTATTAAAGTCAATACATATATATATATAACTGTTTCCGGTACGATGTCGCGAGCGGTTTGCATTAACGAGTTATTGTGTTATTTATTTAATAATTCTGACAAAATTGATGATGCGGAATTCATTTACGAAATAATGGATTTCTACAATTGTGAAGATATTAGAATAGCAAAAAAAATACTTACCAGCGATCTAGATGCGTTAAATCTAGAAAAAGATGATAAAATAAAGCCAAACAGTTCTGGAAACTCTAAAAAGGACAAGGTTAGTGATTTAATACTAACAATAAAAACAATTCTGAGCAACAAAATTGAAAGCAAATTGCCTCAGTATGCTGCTCTCAACCTTTTTAAAATTCCAAGCTCAAAAAAAGCTAAATTTGAGTCAATTCTTGACGAAAAGTTAAAAAAATTAGAAGAACTATTTATTGAAGAAAGAAACATCTTCCGAGAAATAGTAAATGATGCGGCTATTAACAATAGGCCAAAAGTAGAAAGAAAGCAGCAATCCGATTGCAAGACCGAATCGAGCAAGCAATCTGACTGGTCAGAGATTGTAAAACGTAAAATTAAAAAGAGCTCAAATGTTCAACACGTGGCGAATGTTCAACACGTGGCGAATGTTCAACACGTGGCAAATGTTCAACACGTGGCGAATGTTCAACACGTGGCGAATGTTCAACACGTGGCGAACATCAACATGTTGAAAACAAAGAAAAAAACACACAACACTAACATAGCAAATATGAAAACAGTTATAGGCACCCAAACTGATAAACAAACAAATTTGAAAGCGATGAAACCTTCGCCAAAAAGAAAAGTTTTTTACGTTGGTCGATTGGACCAACAATGCACTGCAAAAGAGTTAAGCGAACACATAAATGGATTGAAAATTGAGGTGCTTGGTTGCTCAGCAATCATAAACTCAACTTTTAATCGCCGCTCAAAGCAAGCTACAACATCGATCAACACACAAAACACGAACTCTGACAAAATCGATGTTCAACAGACAAGCGCTGCATTCAGAGTTTGTATTTATGAAACAGACTCAGCTGATTTCATGAATGCAGAAAACTGGCCAGACCAAATCATCGTCCGCGAATGGTGTTTCAATGATCCGTCGGCAAATGTTGTTTCAACTAAAAATAGCAATGAATAAAAACTTCATAGAAGAGAACCTCGAAGAATCAAAATATTACACTGTAAAAGAATTATCTAACATAATAAAATTGAAGAATAAAATGAAAAACAATCACCTACCAATCATTCATCTGAATGCTCGAAGTTTGTTTCATAAATTATTAAATCTAGAAATCTTCTTAAAACAATTCGACGACTTTTTCAAAATTATAGTAATATCAGAAACGTGGTTGAACAATGAAACAGTTGATTTAATTAAGTTAAATAATTACAATTTTGTATATAAAAATAGAAAAAGCAAACGAGGCGGAGGTGTTGGTGTGTTCATAAAGCATGACATCAAATATGTTGTAAATGATAACAGTGCATTTGATGATGAAAATGTCGACGTTCTCTGTGTGGACATTGAATCGGGGCATGCTTCATCTAGGGGTGTGCTAAAAGTCATCGCG